TATGATAGCACAGAATAATTGTACACCTTGACACAGCGAACATCCAGTGTAAAAAGATGCTTCATTGGAGGGGAGGGGTAACGTAATTTTTTTAAATGCATATAATTTTGTAGCTAAAACACCTTTGTAGCATAATTCATTACAGTCAATAACTTTTAGTATAAATAATTTATGAGGTGATGTTAAAGCATAAATTAATATACCTTTTTTAAAAAAACAAAACAAAAAAACAAAACCTACACTAAGTATTCTGAATCCCCTTGGCATGACAAAGAGAAAAAGCCTAAGCTGAGCACGGTGGAGGAAAAGATTTTATATGCTGGACTTCAGCACCATTTCTAGAGGAGAATGATGCACATGCGCACACACGCGCACATACACACTAACACACACAGAAACATGCACCTCTCTTTATGAGCTGCAAAAATAAACATGGCTTTTTCCTTCTAGTGCTCATACTTGGATGATACTCCGTGTTTCTGCAAAATGTACTTGCTTAAAAACACTTTCCCTGCTCTTATTTCTGTATGGAGTCCCTGAGACATGCCCCAAACTGGTTAGTAATCAGCATCACCATTCACAGAAACTGGTCCACAATCAACTCCATTCTCTCAAGAGAAACAGATATTTCATTACACAACCTAATGGTCCACTTCTTCAAGCTAGATCCATTCCCTTGTTTCTTTCTTTTTGCAAGTCAAGGGTTGTTTCAAGATAACTCAGCCCAGTCTATGGCACAAAGCAGTTGTGCCCCTTTCTGGCAAGACAGATTTGGGAATATTACCATCCTATACATTTAATAATGGACACTGGTCCTAGAAGGAAAGACACACATTAGTTGTTCAAGCTTAACATACGAATCCAGTTCATATGTTTAGAGTGTGAAAAGGTGTATATACATATAGGCTTGCACATTTAATGAGTTAAGACTATAACAGAATTATTATTATTTTCATTCTTTTTTTTAGCCCTGAGTGTTTTTTTTTCTCTCTCTCTCACGTTTCAGGTCAAACTGGATACTACATATGGGGTCTATAAATCTGAGATTCCCTACAGTGGGGAAAAAAATAAATCTTTCCGCATGCTGCCCTCCAGTGGCAATGCTGAGGAGGCTACAATACTTTCTTTTGCCTTTCTAGAAATCCTATCATTCGGAGACAACTTGAAAGCTAAGTGGCACACCAGAACAGCAGTGGGAAGAAAGAAAGGAAGAAAGGCACCATTTATACAGATCAATTTGCCACAGAAATAAATTAAGTTGTTTTTCAGTCACAAGCCTTGTTTTAGCTTTTTCAAACATCAATGTACAAAAACTGTACCATTTGTTTATCAGATAAGAACTGATTGCTGAGGAGAAAAACATTTTGGGATTTTCTCATGAGCATCATAATACAGAGAAATTACTATTTTCAAGCTATTTTATTAACATGCCAAAACCATGCAAAATTGGTCCCTCCTCTTCCAGGGCCATTTGTACTTTTCAGGGAAATGCCATTTAAAGAAGATTACTCTGTCATATTATCTGCCTTGACCACACATGAAATATATTCTGCCTTATTATGACACATATCATAGAACTGGATGCTAGTCCAGGTTCATTAACAGAAAAACAAAAGGATTTCACAAAAACATGAAATGTGTGAAATAAAACAAAACCTGTGAATGAAACTTCCCAAGATTCAGTTGAAACTGCAGTCTACAGTACAACATGAAAAAAATGTATATTTGATTGAAACACATTTGAAGCCTACAGTTTGTTCTGTATTTTTTTGGGGGGGGGGGGCTAGAGGGAAGGGAGTTTCAAAAGGCAATAAGCAAGAGCAAGGGTTAAGAATAACAAACAGTGAAAAGGAGAAAGAAGAGCTGATGCTGAACCCATTGTTATCAACAATGGTAATTTCTTAAGGAATCAGAAAGCCTAGTTTGAATGTCTGTTTTTAATTTACACTAAGAAACCTGAAATATGATCTGCCTCCTGCCCAAATGTTAAATCTTCTCCCCTTATTGGGTTTGATCTTCCCATTAGACCATGGCTGATCATGGGTGGGGTGGGGTGGGGGAGATAAGCTCCCACCCCCCACTTGCATGTTCCCAAGACACCTTGGGAAACTTCCTCTTCCCCTTTGGGTCTATTGTACTTTTATTTATTTATCTTAACTCTGCTTGATAGAAGCAGGCTAAGTTCATCATCAACAAATAACCTTTGTTGTGGAAGAAGTTGTGGATATTCAAAAACGGAAACAAAATGGACTGGATTCATCCTTGTCCCTGAACTGGGGAAAGAATAGGAACACAAACCTTGTCTGTGTGGGGAAGGGTGGGACCATTCATTTCAATCATAATAGGCAATACAATTGATCCAGCACAGCCTCTGGGTTATACTCAGAACAGTGACATCAGAACAGTGTTAGCTTTGTTTGTTAAAGGCAGTGAGGATGGTAGGGAAAGACTTCAATGGCCCAATTTCCACTGATCACACTATAGCCTTGGATGCTGCTCTCCCTTGACTTTTAAAAGCAGCTTTTTGGAGGATGAATGTGGGAGGAAAGGTGTGCTGGGTACCCCCTTCATTGGATCCTGGCAACCCTGCTACATTTTCAGATATGGGGAAGAAGGCAACCAACTAGCATTCATCAGCATTTTATCATTCCCCCAAATCTTTCTACAAGAGGAAATAATTTCAGTTCTTCAGATTGTGTGAAAAGTAGGAGAAACGGGGAATTAAACTTTCTTCAGCAAAAAAGACAAGGCCTGGAGGAGAGGGGAGGGGAAGGGAAGGGAAGGGAGGCATTGCATTCTGCCAATTGTGCCTCATGTCCCAATGCACTATGCACTAAAGCAGGGGTTCTCAACCTTGGCAACTTTAAGACTTGTGGACTTCAACTCCCAGAATTCCTCAGCCAGCTTCTGGGAGTTGAAGTCCACAAGTCTTAAAGTTGCCAAGGTTGAGAACCCCTGCTTAAAGTAAAATAAGAAAGAGGTAAGGGCCTTTACTTCAGCTCTTTCATAGGACTTAAAAGATTTACATTACAAATATATTTTTATCACACTTAAATGTTTATTATACAATTCAATTTTAATGCAGGGAAAGAGGGAAGAGTTCACAAAGTTCAAAGCACAAATGTGTTTTCCAGCTACGTACTTTTTTTTTTCCAAGGGCAAACTCCTAACTCCCTGATCTTTTCAGAATAAAAAGCAGCACAGCTTTGAAAAAAAAAAGAAGAAGAAGGCAATAATTCTAATTATCAACAGGCAATTCCTGGAAAATTATTTCCTTGAAAAGTTTAAGAACAGAAAGGACCTGTGTCAGATTTTATACATGAGCACCAGTGAAAGTGGATTCCAAGTCTGTTGTAGGAAATAGCTGATTCACCCTCAAAGAAAAATCAGAGCTTCTGTTCCTAATCTAAAACCAATAAAAACAACATATTAAAGTGTGCTTTCTCTTCAATTTTTTAAAAATATATTATAAAATTAGATGCAATTATGTACAGTTTAAACCTTCAGCCGGGACATATAACAAAGGCTGTTCTTAAGAATGACCATGCCATTGTTTCCATGTCCCCCCAATGAAGGTGGGAGGGAACTCCAGATAGAAAGGATTATTTCCACTAGAAAGAATCTGATTTCATGACAAGTAAAATGCATCATCTAATTTCATTTTTCGAAGAATCAAAATCACAAATACAAAGTGTTGATGGGGGTGGAGTAGAAGCAGGTATGATGATGAATGTGATTGATAAATAGCATTTCAGGGAGAAGGCAGCCTTCTGCTGACAAACTCCTTATAGTTGGGATAGTTGCATCTCTTCAGCATTAAGAGCATGAAACAGACAAACAGAATACCTGACTTTAAAAAATAATCCAACTTAATTAGTGAAAGCAATGATAAAAAGCAAAAGAATGCCTTGTGTAATTTTTTAAAAAACTTCAGTGGTGTAGAATGTTGGTTCTTTTCCATGCCTGATTTCCCAAAACATACCTACTTGTTTCTAAAATATTATGGGGTACAATGAAGGCTCTCTAGTGCTGTAGAAAATTTAAGGGGTCTTAAATATCTGTAGATGGCAATTATTATGCAAAATAATCGCACCAGTTCTAATGTATATTGGTTTGATGGAAACACAACAGAACAGAACAAAAGAGATCCTCAATATTTGAAAAGTACAATTTGACTTACTCAAACAATCTTTCTTCTATTTAATAGACTCGAATGAATGAGTGTGTGTGTGTGTGTGTGTACGCTATTTTTTTTTATTGCTAACAAAGAGTTAAAGGAAGACTGGGATAGCTATTTTGAAATAGCTATCCCAGTCTCCCTTTAACTCTTTGTTAGCAATAAAAAAAAAATTAGCGCATAAATAATGCCGCAGTAGCGACTGCTGCCTGTGGATAGCCCTAGATTGGGCTGATACAGGTAAAAGATTTATTCCTCCCACATTTGGGCTGACAGGGTACATAAAAAAAAACACATATGTGTGTGTGTGTGTCTATGTGTCTGTGTGTAAAAACAATATTAGTAGGAACAGTCACTAGTTTGAGGAGCTTCTTCAAGACAGGAAAGAAAAGAATTGCCATTTATCCATCTATATACTTACACACACAAACACACCTCTAAACTCACAGAAGAGGTCAAGGGCCCACTTGTTAAGATGACAGAATTAACAACTGAATTATGGTCTTGGCTTAATTATATAGTGCCCAGTTATCAAATTACAAAGGCCGACTTTCATCCCACCCATGCCTTCAAAAATGAAGCAACTCCCATCTCCTCCCCAGATGCTAATGGGACGGAAAGTCCAATCTGAACCTTAGGAACTTGCATTTGTTTTATTTGAGGTATCTTCTCATATCTGATTCTAAGGTCAATTACATACATCTTCCCCTTTTTTTTGACTAAAATCAATTACATCCAGTATCTGTGCTGTATTCCCTAACCGAGTATTAACTGGATAAGTAAGTACAGCAACCTGCCAGAAATAAATGAGCACCAATACATAAACAGCACATAGGATAATTAGAGCAGAGCTTAACAGGAAAACCCTGGTCTGTACTGAATCAGGACATTTGCCCCTCTTTTTTGTTTTAAATAAAAAAAAGTCTTTAAAAAGAAGGGGTGACAAAAACCAGGAAGAGAAAAGGTGGTGGTGGATACAATGATGGTTACATAAGGTACCCAAACTGCCTGTCGTTCACAGGCAGACAAACTCAGCTGGAGGTGGTGAAAGGAGCTGATGCATTATTGGTACTTGTAGCTGTGGCACCTGTTACTGCAAAGCCAGTTGGAGGAGCTATGGAACTGTGGCTGGGCTGCAGGTCCTTGGGAATGCCACTGTGGGAGCTTAGTTGGTGGCCAAAGGCTGCACTGAACTGTGGGAGCTGCTGCTTAGGAGAAGTGGAGGCCATGAGTTCAGAAGATGCAGCACCCATGCCACTGAAACTGGTCTGTGGTAACCCCGGAAGCACGCTGGAGCTGTTGGGGGTTACGGTGGCGAAGGCAGGCTGGGTGGTCTCTGAGTGCGATGTAGTAGGTGGTGTAGACAGGGAAGTGGAAAGGAGGTGTCCATCTGCACAAAGCAGGTTACTAAATGGAGAAGGGTCACCAAGGTTTACGGGGAGACTCCCCCAGTGAGTTCTGGGATTCACCACGCCACTAAGTGGCACCTCCAGTTGCGATGGGAGCAGATGCTGTGCTATGATGGGCATCTCAGTAGAGAAAGTAGCTGCCAAATTATCGCTAGAATAAGAGGTGGAACTGGGGGACCTTATATGGTCACTGTAAGGTGATGGCACATGCTCACTGTCATAATGGCTTCCATGGGGTGAGGAGTGTGAATGGTCACTGCTGTATTGCTGTCGTGAGGTGATTAGGTCATCTGCCTTGCTTAGCAGCTGGGCAGGGTGTGGCCTCTGGGAGGCATGGCTGCCATCGTGAAGTCCTTGAAACTGTCCTGGGAAGGCTCTCTCCCCAAGCGCACTCTGGCTTATCAGAGTAGCCGAAGTAAGGCCAACGTTGGCTGGGGCAGAGAATTGCCCCTGAATCTGCCCTGCCAGGGGCGTAGATGGGTTGGATAAGGTAGCAGAACGGAGCAAGTTCTCATCAAGATCCAGGCTAGAGAAATTGTCATCATGTACTATGCGCCCATTCAGCAGCTCACCTAGATCTGCATTGACTTCTCGGCTCAAAGATTGAATTCCTGAAGTTTCAGCACCTGGGGAAAACACCCCTATTCCTCTGTCCGATAGTTCCTGAACTGGTACGCCATCCGTTTGAGTGAGCACACCAATAGTACTCAGGCACTCAAGAGAAGTTACAGCCTGCAAGGCCCGTTCCAGTTCCTCTGCCTCTTCAGTGGTAGGGAGGAGGTCTCCATTTTTACCTTCATCAAAGTAAAAAAAAAATAAAAAAAATTAGTCTCTCTCTTACATATACCTCGAGACAAGCTGTTGAAGCTATTTAACGTAGCAGAGATGTCAACAAATCTATCTCCAAAAATCTGTGGTTTGCAACAGAAGAACCTCCATGATTTACCAAATGAAATATTCTTTTTTGTGTAAATAGGAAGCTAATCCAGATCAGTGTTGGTAGACAGATTTTTTTCCCCCAGTTCCCCAGTCTACAGCTGAGAGAGAGTGACTGTCCCAAAGTCATCCAGTAGGTTTCCATGCCTAGGGGAGGACTAGAACCTGGGTCTTCCAGCACCTTAGCCAGGATACTATACTCGCTTTCACTGTTAACAATAAGGATAGTTAATTCTCAGGATGCAGTATACCCAAAGCAGTTTTGCCAGATCTTCTTAGATTAAGATTTCGATATATAAAGGGACAAAAGAGAAAATACAGTTGATTCTCAGTTATTTCAAAAATGATGCAGTATCTGTACTAATCTCTGATACTATTTATTACCTTTCAAATTTTTCAATAATTATGCATGTGGCTAATATTAAATAAAATGTATGAAGTCCTTGAATTAAAAAAAAAGTAAGATAGCAGAACAAAACATATTTAACATTACATTCAATGACATTTTAAAAGAAAATCCAGATTCCAATCTGACACTAAAGTAATACTAGTTAAGTGAAAATTGTGAGGTTGGTGCAAACCTCCTTGGGGAAGCAAGCCATGATTGAAAAAGGCCTTTCACCTACTGGTGCTTGTCACCTTTTGAAATGGGGGAGATAAAAAGAAGAACTAAGAAAGATCTTATTATCATGGAAAGCACATGGGAGGGAGGAATGTGCTTCAAGGAAGACAGTTTTCTGTAGTAGCAGACTTGTAAGATTCACAGTGGACAGTTGCAATTATTTTTTATTCAGAGCTGCATTTTGTTTGCAAGCCTTTTGTAAAACTTAGCCTTCTTTACAGTCAAACTTCAACTTTCTTTTGTAAATAACAAAATCAGCAACTGAACCTCAAACCTGGAGACAAATGTAAAAATAAAAAGCCACATAACATTAACATTGTCAAAACCCCTTTATATACATTACTTGATAAAAACTCTATATTTTAAAATGGATAGAAAATATAATCCGGTTTTGTGAGGCAGAAAAGACCAGTGTAGTAAAATCACATCGCTTCAAAGCTGATTTCTTTCAGGTAGGGAACAATAACATCTATCTGACATGCAGCATTAGAGCAAAGCTTGAGCCATTTTCTTATTACATTCCCACCTTTCAACAGTTTCCCCAATATATTTGATTTTGAAATCATAAAACTGGTTCCAAAATGTCCCTTTTATCTTACAACTCAGCTTTGAGTGGCATCTACTCGGTTAGCACTGAACGTCATGTGAAAACAAAACAAAATACCTTCAAAGAAATCAAAATCTTGCAAGTCATCAGGCAGTCGTGGTAGGACATCAGAGAAGTCCTCCTGATTCAATTCCAGGTCATGTGGAATGTCTGTGATTTCATTGGCAATGTCATCTGGCAGCTCATCTGTACTCAGCTCAGGTGTGGAGGGACTCCTAAGATACAGGGAAGGTAGTCAAATGGTTTGGTGGAGAACCAGATCCAGTACTGTGATCACCCAGCTATGGTGAAACATTCTCTCTCTCTTTTCAAATGTTTTAAACAGTTCCCCCAATACAGTTTAAATCCATGAAGAGAAAAGAGGAACTTATATGGCTACACCAGAATCCTAACATTAGAAAATGCTTCTGACAGGCAATTTGACAGGTGAGGAAGCCATATCTCCCTTCTTTTCCCCAAGGGAGCTGACATCAGAGCTGAAAGCCTGCTGAACTAAAGATTGACATAGAAAAGGCCATTGCCTACATTTGTGTCAGAGGCTGTAACACTGTCAGCCACTCATATCATTAGACAAGAGGAAATTAAATATATAGCTTTAAGAAGCAGGTACAAATATAGAATGTCTTTAAAAAATAGGGACATGGGACGCACCCATCACTCATACCATTTGCAGCCTGGGTCCAAACAGCTTTCCTTGATAGACACGGGACCTCTAGTGATCATGTACTGCAGGGGTGTCAAACTCAATTTCATTGAGGGCCGCATCAGCATTGCGTTTGCCCTCGGGGGGGCTGGGTGTGGCCAGGGTGGGTGCGGCCAACTGGGTGGATGTGGATGGAGTGGGTGTGGCCTACTAGGTGGGCATGGCCAGCTCTACATCATTCACATCAAGGGTGCCTGTGAGGGCCTGGGCAGGAGTGGGATAGATCTGAGGGCCTCTGGCAGAAGGGGGTGGGACCAGGGCAAGTGCCAAAGCATGGTCCATTTCTTCATTTCTCACAAAGGGTGACACCTCCCCAGTATGCACCCAGGGGGCGGGGCTGACGCGGCAGGGGCTGGTTCCTCGCTGTTTCTAGACGACCTTGTGGAGCTAAGACTGAATGCATTTCAGCATAGATGGCCACCACAAAATTGTACATTGGCTCTCGGCCGGCCTGGGCCAGGGCCAAGGCAGCGGGGGCCGTTCCCTCACTGTTTCCAGGATGGCTTTGCGGGCCACTTGAAACCATTTCATGGGCGGCATCCGGGCCCCGGGCCTTGTGTTTGACATGTCTGATGTACTGGGATTCCAACTCAGAGAGTACATTGTCAGGACAAGAGAAATTAATATCACTTTTTTTTAATATTCCTGAGATATAATGCGGTTTGAAGTGCTAGGCGGCAGTATTATTTTAACTTCTCCAAGTTAAATGAGAGCAAGAAATTCATAGGAACTGATGAAAAAATAATTATCTTTGAAGAGTAAACTATCAGATAAATAGTAGCTTCTATCCAGAGGAAATGTAGAGCAGGGCTTTTCAACCTTTTCACCCATTGTACCACTTTTAGGATATGGCAATATCCGAGTACCACCAGTTGCCCAGTAAGGTGTCAAAAACTTGATGACCCCCCCCAAAAAGGAAAAAAGTGATAAAGTACAGGTAGTCCTTGATTTACAACAGTTCACTTAGTGACTCTTCGAAGTTACAATGGCACTGAAAAAAGTGCCCCCCAAGCCACAGCCAAGCAAGACACCTGCCTGCCCACCCGGCGGCGCTCTTCCTCCTGTCTGAGGTTTTCATTGTTGTATTTCTGTTGAGGATTGGCGGCGGGGGTGGGGTGGGAGGTGTTTGGTTTTTATTCCCCCCCCCCTGTCTGCTGGGGGGTTGCAGCAGGTTTTGGTCACTTCACAAGACCCTGGGACACTGTGACCATCATAAATATGAATCAGTTGCCAAGCATCTGAATGTAAATCACAAGACCCTGGAGATGCTGCAACATTCCAGCTGATCGGTGCTTCTTCTGGGCTCAGCAGAAGCACCAGGATCAGCGACGAGCTCCAGCTGGAGCCTGGCACTGATCCTGGCGCTTCCGCTGAGCCCTGACAGCCCTGCAGCTCCAGCCATCTCTCGCTCAGGCTTGTGCGGTGCTGCCACTGCTTCAGTTCATTCCCCTCCCCCGCTACCACTTTTCTAGGATGGTCGCGTACCACCTGCCAGGTGCCAATGTACCACAGGTGGTACCCGTACCACTGGTTGAAAAGCCCTGATGTAGAGCATCAAAAATCTGTACAATGATTGCTTTCAGGATTAGTACATGTCAGTGAACATTCTTGTTGATTTTGGTAACATTTAGTTAGGAGTTTGTGTGACACCAACGTTGCTATATTAAATCTCAATAAACTGAGGCACTATAGATGTTATTAAACACCCATAATCATTAACCACATAAACAAATGAATTTGTCTTGCTTATATATAATAGCTGCATAACTACAATTCTGCCTTTGCAGTACAGAGTCCTCACTTAACAACTGCAATAGGAACCAGCAACTCCATCATTAAGCGCAATGTCACATGACTGTGCCAACTTAAGACAGGGGTTCCATGTGCAGTTGTTAAGCAAACCACCATGAGCCATTAAGTGCGATGTCATACGACTGTAAGTTGCAACTTCCTGCCGGATTCCGTACTGAAGTTGTTTATCAGAAGCCAACAGTGAAGATTGCAAATGGCAACTGTTTTGAGACTTTAGGGATGAGGCAATGGATGCAGTTTCAAAAACCGCTCATAAGTCTCGTTTTTCAGTACTGTCGAACAATCACTAACAAGTGGTCAGTAGGCGAGGCCCACCTGTATTCTGAAACAAATAATGTACTATGGACAGTAAATAAATGTACAGCATATTTTTTTCAGAGCTGGGCACTGACCGTATATGAGCTAACTCCATTGGCAGTGAGATGCTGGTGGGCATAATAAGGTTTCCTTGGGGCACAGCAGGAGGAATTGGCTTTTGGGGGCGGCGTGGTCCTCGTCTTCTCTTTTTCTTGTGTTTTTTGGTAAGCGCCGGGGGCTTCGTTTTTTTCCTGGGTTTCTTCTGCTGCTGGTGTTGAACTTTGCGACAGCTGTCTCCTCTCAAGAAGTTATCCTTCCAGGGTGGGGAAGAAGACATTAACAAATATTTTTCTTTTCCTTGAAATTCCAAGAGGTATGATTACATCACAAAATTCAGACAGAATATCTGACAACGTGAAAAACCAGCCATGAACCTCATTTTCCCCAATAACAAGGGCAAGAGAACTAACAGCACATAGAGGCCAAAATATTTCCCAATGTAATCACAACAGCATAAATATTAATTTAAAATAAGATCGGCAGGTATTTGAAGGCTAGAAAATTAGTGATACTGAATAATTAGAAAGAATGACTCACAGAGGCTAAAGTTGGAAGTAATCAGATTATTTTTCTGTCAAGTGGATTAGTCAGTTTAGCATATCACACTGTTATGTCGGAATGGTCCTGCTTATCAGAACAAATGGAAAATACTGCAAATATGCTGTGTAATAGGAGTATGCATAACATTTTTAATCTGAATGCAAATTTTAAATTCAAAATGCCCTGTTCAAGTTAAAAACAGTTGTAGCAGGCAGTTTCAATCATTCTGGAAATGTTTCTGGCCCCAAACACAATGTTTCAAACTCATCACCATTTTTAGTTCAAAGCTATCAAAACAGACTGGGAAACAACCATTCTGAACTCAGAACAATTTATATTTTGTAACAGTTAATCAGCAATAACCGAAGGACAATATTCAGAATTTATTATTTGTATTTGTTTATATTAGTTTTGCAAACTAATAAAGAAGAAAATTTTGAAATGTAGGAAAGCTGAGCTCCATGCTACTAGCCAAGCAACTGTTCATTCACAAAATTAGAATGATCCTGAGTAAGTGCAGCCTGCATTCAACTATGACAGGAAGCTTAGGTACCTTCCCATAATCCTTTCGGTTAGCTCAATAAGTTAGTGGATATCCTATATTTTTAATCATAACTGGCAAACCATTTTATAGCCTTCTGAAAAGAACTGTGAAAGTGGAACACTCAGCACTTAGAGCTTACCTGTTGATTTGCTACAACTTCTGTTGTTCTGAATGTGTGTGGGGTTTTGTTTTGTTTTGGGGTGTTGTTTTTTTGCTTGACTATCAAATGTACTTACCATTTTTTTGGCATGTTCTTCACATAAGGGGGTCTGATGTGTAATGTCAAAAACGGGCACAGAGCATTGCTGTCCATCAGCAAACTTAGCTGTACAACTTGAAAAAAGCTGCTGCGATCGATTCAAGAGGATATCTATTTATATACCAGTTTAAAGAATAATATGCAATATTGATGAGATTTGAGTACAACTTTATTTTCAAACTTTTAAAACCCCACACCTTTAAATATAATTTATTTATGTATTTCAAAATTTGGAAGATTTAATAGCAAACTGCCTTCCAGCAGAACTGCCAATGATTTTCTATTGTCTTAAGATAGGTTTACTGAAGTAGGTATTTTGCTAATGAGCCAGTGTCCGTTTTCTAAAAATTCTTAATCAGTATTGTCAGAGAAATATAATCAGTACATTATTTTCTAATGAACTAATGGAGAACTAGATAATATATTAAAAGGAAAATTTCTATCATCTATAGAAGATAATACAAATGAAAAAAAACTGTTTCTGAAAGATAATACAGAGGAAATCAATAAATAGGTTCCTGAATTTGAACTTAGATTGCTCATAAAAATTATATAAGTAGGAGTCTCTTTAGTCTTTCTCTTGCTATGTTTCCTTGCTCAATTTGTAGCAGATATAGTCCTTCAAAATTATGTTTTCATGCAATACTGCTTCACTTCCATGGTCATAAAAATGTGTTCAATATATTTAACATGCCTTTCTCTACTTAATAAATACCCAAATGAGCAATGTTATGTCAGCTGCAGCAAGGCAATGGGTAACAATATGTAACGAATGCCTAGGGACTGTTAAAACCATAAGCTTGGGGAGACAAGCTAGATGATAAAATCTATGGTGTGTGAAAGAAAGTCTGATTTACTGATATAAATAATTGTACAAATAAGTATAGTTCATGGGATTGATTTCTTGTAAAGACAATACTTTAGATAATGGCTGCTAGATTTGTAAAGCAATTTAATGCACATAAGCATGAAGGATGGTATGAAGATCTCTGGATGATCTGCAGGGTATCTGGAAGGATTACTAACTTCTATAACATCAACAGCCAGTGACTCTCTCCCATTCTACAGTCTGTTGAAATGAAGAAGGCATGATGAAAAGAAGGTCCTAATGAGGAGCATGTCATAAGCTCCATTTATTGCTGGTATTTAGAACAGATCTTGGGGCTCACAACATTTTAGTTCTATTTTTTCTGTACCATCTTCTATTAATCTTTAGGTTTCTAATGAAAACAAAGTACAACCCACAAGACTGTAGATTGTGCTAACATGTGTAATTGTTCAACTGTCACCTAGAAGTAGCTTATATGACCAGTTTTTAAAAATATTTCAGCATTATGATTATGTACAGTATGTTATTTTCTTTCAGATATTTTCTTATTTCATCTACAAGGTTATTTCTGTGTTGTCATTCCTGTCTATATTGCTCACTTTATAATTGTCAAGAGTTTTTTTCATGCCTAGAAGAACTATAAATTAAAGATAAACCTGTGTTAAAATTAAAATTCTGAGCTCATTTAATCTAATTTGGAATTTTTACCTTTTATTTTGTTGCTTCTGCAATTCATGTATTCCTGGACTTACAGCTTTTGCTAGATGGACAGGTAGACCACGTCCAGGAGGCCTTTGCAGTTTCATCAGCTACAAAGTTGAAACCTTACTTGGAATGGGAGGACCTTGTAACAGTGACTCCTGCCCTTATCATCACTTGGTTAGACTGCTACAATTCATTTTACTTTGGTGCAGTAGCTCACTTGTTGTCTGGCATTAATAACAATGAACATATTGCTCCTATTTTATAGACTTACATTGGTTGCCAATAGTTTTCCAAGTGCTCGTTTTGATTAATAATGCTCTTTATAGCTTGGCACCTGGATACTTGCAGAACTATCTATCTAAGTGTATTCAACCCAACTGATAAAGTCCCCTCAAGAGATTTGTGATCCCCCTTCTCCTGGGAGGTGAAGGGGCTGAGCTAGAAGGCACTGCTTCCACATCACAACACCTACATCATGAAACAAGCTCTTTCTAGAAATTAGCACAGGTCTCTTGCTGATAATCTTCCAGAAGCTTAAAGATGAAGCTTCTCTGGGCTATCTTTAAGAATTATGATTGTTACTATATAGATGTCTGTCGTTATTATTACCGTATATATTATCTTTTATTATTACCGTATATATTATCTTTTATTATTGTATTATTCTTTGGATTTTTGTTGCTTTTTAGTGTATTTTAAGTCATTGTATCCTGATGATTCAGCAGATAGAAATTTGGTACATAATACAGTAAATAAAATAATTAGCAGAACTTATCTACTCCTACAGCTAATGCATTCATCATTTTATCTTTATTTTTTATCTATTTTTAAAAACTCTGATTTTTTAACCAATAACTAGTCATTTAAAATCTTACAAAATTATGCTATATTCACTATTTCTAAGTATGGAGTTACAAGCTTAATTTTCCAACTAGACTTTCTTGCCTTATAAATCAATTATACCAGTCTACTTTTAGAAATCAATCTGGTCTCTTAATGCACAGTGCAAAAGAAGTACAACCAAATACAGATGCCAAGTGCTATTTATTGAAAACGAAAA